GTGACACGGCGTCACGCATCGCAGCCCGACGTTTTCAAGAGTGATGTATTGTTACCGATGAATGCATTCGCGTTTGCACTTCTGTCGACGCAATACATTCTATCATCAACCAATACAAACATTTCCAGCAATGGAAATAATAATTGTGCATCAATAATAAATGTATGAAGGGACAAGGAGATGTTTACATTTCCTGTTTGATATTTTCTACAAGTCTGTTTTAATAAACAGCATTTGCGGTGGGAGTTTCGCGAAGATAAGAGTATTGCTCCTTTTGTATTAAAAAAAGTCCAGTCAGAACTTTGCTTGCTGACAGCTGAGCTTCGACTTTCACTGGAGATCGCCCACTTATTAAACGCCAGACCACACTGAATCGCTATGTTCCTGGGGTATGCACCCACATTCATCTATTGTTCGAATATATTTGAAAAATGCTTCTACTTCCGCTTTCCGAGGAATTTTTGCACAATTAAACCTGCATTGTAAGAGTTCCATTTTATCTTTCAAGGAAGAAATTATTTCTTGGTAATGATCGTTCAATAACAATTTTATATTTTGCCCAGGGAGATTGTGTTTCAGAAAATTCTTTATTTCATTGGATATCTGTTGTATTTTCCATAAACATAAAAATAGTAGCATATCTTGAGCATCGTTTAAAGAATTGTTTGTTGACTTTTTCCATGTAATTCAGGTATGGTTGTGTCATTAATCTGACAATTGACACTTGGTCTCCGTTTTTACTCTCATCATTCCTCGAGTACTTGCAATTTCGAGCCACAGTGTACGTTCTCATTGGCACGTGTTCAGTGAAATTTGCAGAGCTATCAAGACGTACAAATGATAACTTTCGTTAAGAATTCCTCGATTCACGTAATCCTAAGTCTAGCTACCGAGAAGCATTCCTCGACTGCAGTTCCGTTAGGATTGCCTAGAATCTAGGCCCTAGATTCTAGTTGTCCACTGGTCTATTCTCGCAGTCCGTGGAAACGCATCGTCAATACGATCATTTAAGCGGCTCGCAGCGTTTCTGGACTGTGTTCGATGTTGGTTACCATTTTATGTCTATATTTAGATGTGGTCCAGCTTACGTCGATAAACTGGGCCGAATTGAAGCGCTCCCGTAATACTTGTTATCGGTCCAAAGGAAATTCCTCGCCATTATTCTCGACACACAGTATCGCTAACGACAACTATAATGCTCGTCAATTAATCTTGGTGTCTAATTTTCTTGTTATTTTCTGATAAAGCGTTAGTACATAAAATTGCACGAATCATATAATTCTGTATTGGAAAGCAAAAAAGTCCTTTGTGAAAATTGAAGCGAAGATCGGAACATTACAGTAAAATATTTCTAAAGCATTTTGAATACTTAAAGCCTTTGATTTTGAAAGCAGTATTTAAATGTATGAGAACAAAATGTCTACAAGTCCTATTACTTAAATTTAGAAGACTTCTAACTATAAATTCATTCGGCAGTCGACCCAATTTTGTGGTATGCGCCACTGCAAGATCGTCCACGACCTCGTTAACAATCGTTTGTCGCTGGTTTCGAAGAATTCGCACATAAATTCGAATCCGTTTCGCGTCCCCATCTCGCGAAGGATCGAATAAATTTGCATTAACAAGGCCCGTAGGTGGGCGACGAAGATACCAGATCTAGATGGCTCAATGACAAATTGAAATTAGCTGTTTAGAGATAGTTTTATTCGCCGCTGTTGTTGGCTTCGTTTGCGAGAGGATAAATAAAAAACAAGGCGAAAAAATCAAAACGGAACACGCATTCCCCCGCTTAACGAGCTTGTTTCGCGTTCGTTGAATAAAGTTATACGTTTCCTAGTATCCGACAGGTGACAGCCACCCGGAGTCATTCGGACACGCGTAATCGGATTTCGAAGATAAATGGTCTTTGGCCCAATGGAGCATTTTATTCAGCGAGCGTTACATTGCCATAATTCCCGCGTATCTATTAGTCGCGATGACTCAATTATTTAGCATGTTTTCTTGGAAGACACTCCTCGCGGTCTTAATAAATTTTTATTTCTCTGTTAACTGCTTCTGTCTAACATCAATTTTAAATTAATTTTTCTTGTTCTCAGATGTGGCAGTTAACATTTTGGACGTATTTTCTGCTGATCGCGTTATCGCTGGCGCCGGTCCAAAGGGTCGTAGGATGCTCTTGCATGCTGAGCCATCCCCAAAAGCTGTTCTGCGTTTCAGATTATGGTAAGTGTCTATATTCTTATTAAAAAGAATTTTTCTATGCTTAACAAAATATTGTGGTTAATGCTTATGAGTTTAAACACCAATGCAATTATTATTATTCAGAATAATATCGACTTTCAATAAAGACTGCTCCTCTATATTAGCCTTCTACTCTTTTCTAAATATTTGGAGATAACTCTATACCCTGACAGCATTCTTTTCTACCTTCCAGTCGCCGTGGTGAGAGTGAGGATGGCGATGCCCGTGAACGAGCACGAGATCGCCTACAACGTGAAAGTCAATAAAGTCTTCAAGGTTCGTACGTCTATGGAAATTCCTAGCTTTTACTACTTGCGTCGCTTTACGACGATCGTACGCGTCTATCTGATACGAAAACGTTTCATTAGGAGCGGAACAACCTGAATCCAGTCGACTTCCCCAAGAAAGAGTTTTTATGGACGGCGTCGACGGACGGCATGTGCGGCGTTCACCTCAAAGTTGGCGACACTTACGTCGTGGCTGGGGTAATAATCGGAGGACAAGTGCGTATATCAATTTGTGGCTTGGCGATGCGGTGGTCTGAGGTGACCAGCAGACAGAGGAAAGGCTTCAGGGGCCTCTATCATCGCGGCTGTGTGTGCGAGGTGAGCGAAGAATGTTCCCTGTCAACGCTATCTTGTCCCTAAGTGTTCACCTTTTTATACGCGAGGCTGTTTGCTTTCGAAACTGAAGAAGCAGTAACAGGAAAACTTAATGCGTTTCTAAGTTCGATTTGAACGACGTTCTTCAAATTAAAAATGATACAAATCTTTAGATTTGCACTCGTAGTCGACAATAGCCGACAGTTATTTCGGAGATTCTCCAATGCCTAGCTTCACCATATGGCTTTCGTTTCGAGAATCGCCAGAAGCCGGCAGTTGACCACGGGCCGTTCAAGAATAAAGATTTGTTAGAGTTTTATTTTCAATTTTCTAATATCGTCCTGCGAGCCCGAAATATCCTGGCTACACACCGATAATTTGGGAGCTGACAGAGTTAACTGCTCTCCAGAATATTTCAGAGAAGTAACATCGCCTTCGTTCTTTGTTCTTCAGATCGATTACACACCTTGGTGGAAAAAGGGGGCCGTTCTGGAAAGCGCAGGAAGGAAGCGATGTTTATGGGAGAGCGCGCCAGGTCCTCAAGATTGCCAAGAAAAATACGGGGTGTGCGTGGCAGGGCCAGGTGGATGCTCTTGGACTCCATCTGTACCTTACAAGAATTGCATCAAGGAACACCAGCGGAAACGCGAGCAACAAAGGTTGCGAGAACCTTAAGATCTTCCCTCCGCGTGCAGTTGCTGATCCTTCTGTTAGAAGTTGCTTGTGGCACCCTTCGACACAACTGTACACGTTAATTTCGTAAGATTCCTAACGGCGATCGCCGTTGATTGTGCGAAGGAGCGTTTCCGAAACGCAGCACACCGTATCGCGCGAGTCGAAAAATTAATGCTCTTTGTTTGGACGCGCTTATTTATTTGCAACGAAACACGTAAAGCGTAATACATCGCCAATATTCTCCGAAAGAACTTGCCGTCGAGTAAATTGGATGCACGTTTATTTATTCGGAGAGAATGGCATTAATTTATTGACCAACGGTCACGTTTCTATCATCGTGTCGCGTTCTATTTATTGCGTCGTTTATTGCGTCGTTTATTGCGTTCTATCAAGCGGTATCAATTCGGAAGGTTGCGTCGACGAGAGCAATAGACGTTGGCGAATAAACACGAGGTAGCGAACCGAATGGTTAGAATGCTGACGTTTAAAGTTTCGTACAATTTGCTGACGAACACTTGAAGCTGCTTGCATTTCCTCGACGTATTATTCCATTGCGAAGCTCATAGCATCGAGCTGAATCTTTCTCGCTTAATTAGACGCCGTTATGATTTATTTCCTCGATACGGACCTCACTGCTTTTAATATTCGAACGATCAAAGGCGTAAAGTGCATTTACTCGATACTCGAGTCGGCTACGTTCAAGAAGAATTATTCATAAAAAGGTCTTCATTCCCTGAATACCTTCAGGGGAATTTTCAATCTTCCATCTCAGCCGATGCTGTTAACCTCGTTTCGTTTAGTTCAATAATTCTTGCAGGTTCGATAGTAACGTAAATGGATGTACGTAAAAGCTGAAATAGTAAGAGCAACGAGCATTTTCAACATCGATTGCCCCCCCCCCCTTAGCTGTACATATAGGCTACTAATGTATATTACGCATTCTTAAATTATTCTCATTTATTGTTTCGTTGTACGTAGCTTTGTCTTATTCGCGTAAGAAGCTGCTGACGTGTATTTAATTTCGGATGCAGCCTTGCACGAATCTCTGAATACTGAAAAGATACAGTATCGAATATGACGCTCCAGGGCTGATAGCGTTACAATAATGACGCAAAGTAGATATCGTTGTAAAATTTGTTTTTTCCCCCCTTTTTTTTGTGTTATTTCATTATTCAGAGAGTGCAGCTGCTGAGCGTCGTATTACGAATGTCGTAACCGATTAAGTTCTCTGTATCCAATACGAAACCCTGGACGTGGGTAGAAATTTAGTACAAACCACTAAACGCGCGATATGACGGGAATTAGTCGGCATTTCCTAGCACGAAAACGCACGTTAACTCGTAACGACGTACTTTTAGCTTAGTTCTTCCATTTGATAACTTTTGTAAGTATTATATACTACTTAAATGATGAGTAATAAACGAGAAATATATATTTGTTCGTTCTCTAGACGACGTCCTGTTAGTGCAGTCATTTACTCACCATTTCGCGATGATTGGGATAGTAAGTCTGCTCGATGAGGGGGAAGTTGTCCTTTCCCAAGCGCCGCTGAAGACCCAAGAGGTGCGCGAACACCCAAGGTTTGTCCTAGAAGAACGACTGCGATTGACTCTGTTTCTCATAGATTTGCGACGGTATTTGTATTATTGTCCTTCTTAGAACACGTTCAATTTTATTTCTTGTGAATCAAGTTCATTGTATTCAACGGAATGTCTGCGGGAGACAAAAGGAAATTAATTGATCTGTTCTGACCTACATGAAAGAGTATACCTAATTTTATTTTGGAACATGTTTTCTACTCAACCTTTTAGCTAGATGAAAGGCCCCTCAATCAGTTTACTCTTTATCAGTACCTTTTTTTTTCAAGTATGAATTTAATGAAGCCTATTAAAGCAATTTATGTTATATCAGGTCACTTTATACTTATATTTTTATACCCTGATAAATATAGATCAAAGATTTATTTGTGACTCACGATCGACACCTTTTAGGACCTACGTTCAACCTACTAATCGCCCTACAGCTTCACGGTGTCAATTTAACCGAGATCCAACGCGTTGAAATATTTTCGACGAACATTTGCATAATATTCACCTGGAAGTTGTAAATTGCTGTGAGATTGTTAATACTCGGGACACCTCCGTACATCAATCCAAGAAGAAGGTTCTTGTTGTCTTCCCCCGCGTCCTTGAGGTTTTGTCGTATCAGGACGAAATCAGGTTTGAAGGATCTGTCAAAGGAATTTTGCTCGAGTATACGTCGAGCAGCAGAGCTTGAAGAATTAAAAGGCAGATGTCTTACCGAATGACCTTGGTCCCGTTACGATAAACTGCCATGGACACGACAGTGCCAGCCTCGCTGGCTGTCAACGACAATTCTCGAAATTCCGCTTGTTCTACGCGGATCTCATAATCGCCGTGAAGTCTGCGACCTCGAAAGTATTTGCTCCAGTCGGTGTTCTGGTCGTCGATAACCAGAAGAGTGAAGCAACGGTCCTTGTTGAAGGATGGCCTCGTTGCGCCGGACACTGCCGCTCCCAGGATCGATGCACCCTAATTGTCACAATCAAAGCCTGTGTAATTATTGACAGAGCTGGTGCCCCCATAGGTTGTTAACCCTTTCAGACCTAGCGTCCACAATTGAGAACACAAAATTTACTATCACGACAAACTAACGTGTAAAGGATTACCTGGTCGCGAGCAGCGCCGGTCAAACTCTGGACCCTCTGGAGCAGACTCTCGCGAGTCTTCGCTGGCGATGAGGGTGCGCTGGTGGTCCTGGATCCAGGTCTCAGGTTAAGGCTGAGATCACCGCCGACAGGCTGAGGAGGGCCTGGTGGCGGTGCTCCAGGCACCGGTGGCTGACTGGCTGGTGGTACCGGAGTCGGTTGCGACTGAAGCGGCCTGTCCGGCGTCGCTTGATACGATTGGGACGAATCCCTGGCCATGGAGGCCAGCCCAGAGTCTGTGCTTGGTTCATCGTCGAGCTCCGAGCTCAAATCCCCTGACGAGAACCTGGAAGACAAGCTATGGTGGTGGTCGTGATAGTGGTAATCGGTCGTTTCGGCCCGTTATCTCTCACAACTCTTTTCGCATTCCCATTATTTAGTTTTATTTAGCTCTTTTTTCTGTCACGTGGAAAACTGCACATCGATCAGCCAGTGCTCGGGGGATGGATGGCGTGGATGGCGTCTGCGATGATGGACGATTTGCTGATTGCCGGTTTGCATGCGTGACGGGTGACGACACATTCGGTTCGGATGCCCAGAGCTTCGGTGATGGACGCGTCGCTTGCGGTGTTGCACGCGTGAAATGCGGGGTAACGCTCACGTGCTTTGCAAAGCCAGGTTGTCCCTCGCGAGATAATTAGGTGGCGTTTAACGGCGAAGTAATTAGGCTCTACCGTGGCGTGTCCGGTGACACGCGACGATGAAAACTGGTACGCGTTTAGTGTAAACTTCGCTGTTACCGCGCGATCGTGATCCGGATAATAGACTAGTCGATGTAAGACGACAACCGCGTTCAATCTGATTCTATCCGCGCCATTGTGTCCCTGAATGGGCGCTATTGTAAAGTATCGAGCTTTAGGCTGACATCGCGTGATACCAAAAGCGATTCTCTAAACGACTACATGCAAACACCTTGGATCATCAGATTGGAGCTTCGCGCTAAGAGTGAACAAGATATTTTACGTTCCGTATTGTAAATAGAATAATCAGTAGTATGAGCATCGTCCAACTTAAATACGTGTATTTTATTTCCTTTAGAAACGTTTATTCCAATAGATCTCACAAATTGTTACTCGAGATGATCCAATAGCAAGATGGAAACGTTTAAAAGTAAATAAAGACTAGCCAACCCTGTACTAGTAACTCTTTAACTTACTTCATTTGTAATCAAACAGTCATCATTAATATATTTTCCTTAAAAATTAATCCATCTGCCTATGAATTTATAATAAATCTAACAGTGCATTTATTCAACATACAAATATTTAATCTAAAGGAAAGTATATGTATTGGATTACCCAGAAAGTTCGTGTCAATTTTTAAGAAAAATTTAAAAGCCCATTTGAATTTTGATATATACAGTTAGTCTCGTAAGTATTCGTACTCTTTGCGTGTATTCAAGAAATTTATGTAAATTAAATGATAAGTTTGATGTTTTTAAATAAATGTTTGATGACTGATTGTATATTTATTGACTTATATAGGTACTATTTTGTTCCACAACTTTTTCATCTTTTACGGGCTATACACATGTTATTTGTTTTCAACCATTTCGAAATATTCAGACCTGTACCACCTACCAAAAATCGATATGAACTTTCCAGACAAACCAATACTTGCCAAGTGTCCAAATTTAATTAATATTTTCTCTGCTTCTATGTATCAAAATAATTTTGATTATCCGCGAGAACGATAACGTTCACGAGCGTTCCAAGTGAATAAATGCGCTGCTTATTACACCATCAATTCTGATATTGTGTTTTCAATCGGGTGATTAATCGAAGTACGGTATTTTGATTTCGCGAACAAAGCTACGGCCCTTAATTAAAATTATCACTCCGTTATTCCCTGCTCGTGAAACTCGATTTATCGTTTAATTATAGTTTAACGGACGAATCAGATAGCCAGCACTCGGTTAATTGAACGAGCAATTTATCGATCAGTCTGCGTTATATTGTATCGCGCAATATGGACGCGTATTAAATCAACTTTGTATCGAGATAACTGTTCGTCACTTTAGGCTGTTATTATGTTCCTCTATGCACGGATTCGACGAGAAAGGTGGTGAATTTCATGTTTTTTCGATAACTTAATTAACTAATTCGTATTTCTCCAATGCAATTTGCATGGGTCGAAATTCTTTTCTAATATTAAACGAGAGTAATTAATAAACAATGACTTTTTTCGGTGATTCGAGCAGTTTATTCTCGTTCAACCGGGTACGTGTAAAAATAAATCTTTGCAACCTTCAACGCGGTCGTCTTTAGATTAAAGATATCTAGTGTCTAAAATAGATATTGTTTAAAGTGAGAGTTGGAGTAAATATACAATTTTGAAGTACTTTCAAACACTTAAATAAACAAAGTCGAAGCTTTCAAATATCTTGGAAAAATGGTCGACGATAATTTTGCGCAACAAATCCACCAACGTTCCAAAGAATTTTATTTATTTGCTTGAATTTAAAAACGAACATTTTCCAACCATTATTTTACCACCTATCCAACCAAGCAACAATAAACTGCTCGTCATACCAACAACAGTCGTTCATCGCGATGCGCTATCGATACATTCAATTTGAAACCGGAGGAAGCTAGAGAAACAGAATAACTTCCTGGTGCAATAATTATGCGGCAGGAATGCCCTGAGACTTACCGGCTACGCAAAGAAATTTATGAAAATACCTAAAAGATACAGATCGCCTGTCGAGAGGCATTCGTATCGCGGCAATCTTAAACGCCTCGCTTCCGAATTCCTCGAGTCTTCCCCAGACCTGCTACAGGGAAGTTCCAGGGATTCCATCGAACAATTGTGATCTTGCGCATGCAGAAAAATGTAGTCAGCGTTCGGGGATGGAACAGTGAACTTACCTCCGTTTCAGGTAGTTAACATTGGAGGTGAAGGACTGCCGAAAGCTGGAGAATGAAATGTTGCCGGGTGATGGAGCTGTTCCACAATATTTGGCGCAACCGCCGCGGCCGGTAATTTTGCTGGTTGACACCGACTTCGTCCGCCTGACGAAAACCGCTCGGTACCTCTTCCCTCGGCTTCTCGAGGCTTTCGAACGCGATGGTCTTCCTGTTCCTCGTCCTGATCAGGTGGCAGATCGGGGCTGTACGAGTCGTTGCTCGCGCGACGTTCGTCCGATTCGATGTTGCGTCTCTTGTCGAGTTTCGGGATAAACTTCAACGTAAGGTAATCCGAAAGGAAAGGATGAACTAAGAGAGGTGAGGAAGGAGAAACTAAACAATCCAAGTTGAAATCTGCAAGGGGAACCATTGCTGGCTGTTAGCGAAGGTATTTCATTAGGGTAGATGTCTGTGAGTCTTCTGGGACACTTGGATCTTGTTTTCTGGGAGTAATGGTACGTGTGAAGGTGGTTGGTAATTGGAGAAAACATCCGAGTTTATTTTGCACCGGTCTTGTCAGACGAAAAGGAGAGGTTATGAATGAGGCGGAGGACTCTTGGAAATTTTTGTTGGGAGTGGAGAAGAGGATTGCAAGAATTCGAGTAAACTTGGATGTCTGTGATAAATGATTCGTGTTGCTCACAATTTTCTTATAAATATCCAATTTATTTCATTTCCGAGAGACCACGTAACTGAAGATAACTGTAAAAATTTGCTTACCACAAACAGTGGCTTTCAGAAATTTTAAAAATACTTCTCGATGTTAGAAGAACACGACTTGTATTGAATTCTAACTTCAGAAATTTTCTAAAACATATATAACATAAATAATATATAAATTTTACATACAATTTTATATGTAATTTTATGTAATTTTTATATGTATTTATACGTAATTTTTTAATTTAAGTTGAGTTACACACGTTTAAGAAAATCTCTGAAGTCGAATTTTAGAATGAAATACAAGTCGTATTCTCCCAACATAGAGAAGTATTTTTAACATTTCTGAAAGCCACAGTTTTTTTTTTGTACTGGTGAAAACCAGCGGCAAGCATCTTTTGTAAGCCAGGCGCGATAAAAGTGTCCACGTGAAACATTTATGCGCGCGAGATGAAGACCTCTTGCAGAAATTTAGCACAGCAAAAGTGGAGCTTGATATCCCGCTGATCGATACGGGGCGCAGCGTGACTTTACATGATGTGGGATTTTTACACGACCCACGTTTTGCTACTCTGTGTTCGAGCAGTGATTTCGTGTGAAGTATCAGATTGCAATAAAGACGACCGATAACGAGTTATTGACTTCCGTCAACACTCTGCGGGGGTACTAATTGTTTCCGCGAATGAAGGAAAGGAGATGTACAAGAATAAAATTCGAACTTATGTAATCTTCAGATTATGCAACACGCATAACATTATAACAGGATGCTTTGTTAAATAGATAAACATACCGAAGCAATTATTAATTAATTTACTCAATACAGGGGAAGAATGTGTCAATACTGTTCCTAGTCAAAAAAGAAAAATGCAGGACTTTTGAAAAAACCGAATAGTTAAAAAAATAGTTCTGCACTATCTGCGTGTAGATAAATTCATAATTATTAACCCCTAACGATCTATTTCAAGTAACATTCAGTTACAATTACTGTGTGGGTTGCATAAACTGAAAGTAAGCTCGGCTTTCACAAACTGTATAATTCAATTTCCTTGTATACCTTCTAGTTCACAGATATTCCTCAACAACTACAAAACGCATTTACATACCAACGGTTTAATCACCTGGCTAAGAGTTGAATGAAATCGTCTTACGTCGAAATAAACTACTTAAACGAATGGTTTAACTCGTTTAAAAGTTCCGTAGCGCTCAGCGAGGAGAGCTCAGGATTTCGTCGAAGTTAGGACATTAATCCCCGTCTCGTCTCCGAAGGCATTATCCAATCACAAGTACGGTGAAGTTTTAATTAACGCGGTTCTACGCTGCATGCGACACCTTGACAAACTGTCTGCATTCAATTAATTTCAGTGCGCCCGAACTTGATTGAATTTCAAATCAGCTCCGACGAATTTCAGCCGCCGTTAGAATTTCTTCGCGTTCTAGCGCGTTTCAACCTTGCAACGGCATTCCGAAAGAAGATTCTCACAGTTTGTTTCCCGGTTGAAACGAATTTGATACGCTCGGAACTTTGCGCCAGTCGATGAACGGATCCTGATAGCCGTTCCTAATTTTATTGCGTCGACGAAGCTGCGAAGCGTTGACAACGGGGAGGGATGAACGACGCACAGACCATCAAATCGATAGATTTCGCGACACACCCTACTCTTCGAACACCAAATACGTAAAATTTAATATGCTATATCGACGTGTACCGTTTTAGTTCGACAGAAGAAAGTTTCCCGTTGAATTTCTTTTATTAATTTTCTTAAAATTGTTTCGAGAAGTACGCGTGCAAGTGCATCAAAGTTTAACATCAATATTCCAAGAGGCCTTTATTATTCGCGTTATCTGTAGAGGGTTCAGCTTAGGCTCTAGTAATAATCGATGACGGAAGAGTCCCTAGGTGTTAGGAAAGGGCAGGCGCATTGACCGCCCAAAGCTGCGCGTACGGAAAACGTTCCCGTTCGCGGTGACAAAATTGCACTCGAACAAAAGATACTTACCAATTCACTCGAACTGTTCAAAGTGAACGATACACCTTAACTTTCCTACTTGTATATTTCTTAACTCGTAAAACGTCTTGCCACTACACGTCTACGTTTTTCATAGGAAAAGTTGCATGCTATACTAAAATTATATTATTTTCGTATTGATTCGATCAAGTGGTTTCTAACGGAATCTGGTTCGACTAATTAAAATCCCACTTCTTAATGTATTTATAGTAAACGGTTTACAGGTGCTTCCCTGACGATCGAGGATTAGAATAAAAATCGCACACGCATGAGGCTGACATACGAACCCGCGGGAACGCTTGTCAGGTCATGCTTGCCCGGAACTACTGACCTGTCGTCATCGATCAACACTCTATCGCCGAGGTTATCTACTCCCGCGTAAATCTAAATCGAATACTAATGGCGATAAGATGGGAATCGCAAATGACAGTACACTCTTCTCCATTAGAATAAAAGGCGAACAAAAACCTACGCACGAAGTTTTAACATACCATAAAATTTTTATTTGAATATTGTAGAATAATCTGTAGAAAAGAGAAGCCGTTGCTCCTCTTCTTAATTTACATTAAGTATAAATTTTTTCCAATAAATCTCGACGCGAGTAAATTTTACCATCTCGCCATTATTCAATTACAGGTAAGCTAAGACTCGACTGTCGTCAACTTAAATCACGACATAGCCCGTTCGAAGAGGTTCACGAGATCCCTGCCAACCGAAAGTGGATTCCCCCGTTTCTTTCGATTCCCCCAGTGACCGTTTGTGGAACGGAAGCTTTGCTCTGACCCTCGATCTTCTGACCAGGAGTCGCAGCACTAGGGTACCAAAGAACTACGCTGCTACCGGGATGCGAGCCCGCCGTGCTATCGAGAGACTCCCAAAACCCTTTCTTTTCTACCACGATTAACCGAAAACGAGCTCTGTCCCGAAAGTGGTCTCTCGATCGTTAATTCTATCCTTAGGTCTACGTTCTAAACGCACTTAGATCGCAAGATTTAAAACTGGTACTCACCTGTGTCGCGTGCGTGTACTACCCACTAGTTTGCCGGTGAAGCAGTGAGCCTCGAACGAGGATCGCGAGGGTGTTACCCGGAGGGCTCGTCGGTCGATAGGTCCGCGCTTGCGTCGTTCTTATCATCCCCACCTGGAACCGTCCGCGAGCTAAAGACGAGGGGAAAAAAGGGACGAGCCCCTGTGTTTCCCGATATGCCTAGGTTCCCAGACCGTGTTTGTACAGGGTGACGTCGCTCGATGCGCGTCAAACACGCTCCACCTGCTGGCCGACTGAAGATGAAACGTCAGGCTATGGGAGTGCAGGCGTCAGGGCCTCTCTGAGATTGGAAAAGGCCCGGATCAGTCAGCTTCCCCTACCCACCGCGGCTCTTCGCGTTTTCAAAGAGAAATTCCATTTCGGGGAACGAATAATATTTTTGCGAAGAGCATATTTGCTCGAGAAGCAATATTGCTAGTTGAATTGGGAAAGTTCATTTTGCTGATCCTCCATTGGGCGTGTCGCTCGTCTCCGATTGCTCGATAGTTTTTCAGCTTGGAGAAATAGAATATTATGAGAGGATGAGGCGCAGTGTTTTGCTGAAGTTGCTTCCACTGAAGGTTCCCTTTTATTAATGGAGCTGAGACCATGGCGCCTTATGTCGTTAGGAAGAGTAAAAAAGTTCTTCTGGAACTTGTGGAAAGACAGTGTTCGTAAAACTTGGATGTAATGTCTTAGAGTTGCGAAGTTTGGAGTGTGATGTACTGGTTAAGCGTTTAGTCGTATCAAGGTGAGGCTTACAACGTAAGCCTTGCTAATGAAACCGACTAGGAGATGGTAGGTGAACATGGACTGATTATAGGAGTATGAAAATATCGTCGGACAGCGAGGGGGTAGATCTTTGATATCAAAGGTCGAACCACGAAGGGTTGAGCTCTTTCTTGCTGGAGATTTGGAAGGATTTCTTGAAGCAGGAAGGAGTAGGTCTTTGAGTTGAAGTTGATAGACTTGGCCGGAGATGGATTTTCGGTGGATGTTGATAGCACTAGGTTTCCTTTGATCATTAAAGTCGAGACTTAAATGGTCGAATGAGGACGTCACTCACCGTGTATTAAAACTTCAAGTGTATTAAATGTAACAAAGAAGAGTCAAATAAGATCAATCACTGTATATTTTGTCTCTCAATTTCACCCTCTGCATAAAGGAAATTCCATTAGCAACGCAAGTTATCCTGTGCATGAAACAGGTTGTACCTACAAGAAAGTGCAAACAAAAAATAGTATACCAACGTTATAAATAATGCAACAGAAAAACTCCAGCGTGCCTAGGCAAAAGGAGCAAGCAAACCAAGGCTGAATCGCCTTCTATACGAGATTGTTCCACCTCTGATAAAACCATCTATCATAAAGTTGCGATTTCGAGACAATTTTCTTGGTATTTCTCGCAGTCTCCAGAAAATTCCTTAGCAGACGTTTTCGCTAGGAGAATATCATAGTTGCCACCGTCAGCCTCAGGTGCTCCTGGGAGGTTCCGGTTGAAACTGTAGCTACTGAAGCGTGGAGGGATGCGATCAGGAACGGTACCCGGACATACTATTTCTGTAATTCCTGCCAGAGGCTTCCTATTTCCCGATATCGTATTAATTATAAAGCGTCGGTGTTGATTTCGCGGTCCCGAGGCGGTGTGGCCACTCGACCGCGGCGTGTGCCGGCGGGGCGCATGAAAGAATTAATGCAGCGACCCAGATATTCGCGCTCGCACTTACCCGGGGCTTTTGTGCCCATGGAAATCGGGCTTTGAAATCTTTCGGGAGACAGAGTCCCCTATTGTCTAGAACGAAGTCGGTCTGTGCGAGCGCCGTGCGGGTTGGGAACCGCCGCGCAAAACGCTGAACGAGCCGAGTCGAGGAATCAGAGATGGCGCGTTCGAATAACTCCAGACTAGTTATTTATTCATCTGGTATATATGTGTATTGGCATTTACAAATTTATTGATTTTTACGGCGAGAAGTTCCGGGGAGATTCAATTGCTTCGTTGGCTTACTTTATTCTTGTAACATTTTTGAGAAATTTCTTGTTATTATTTCTCAAAATCTTTTATTATATTTTGATTTGTTTCAATTTTAGATTATGGCTCTTGTGTCGTTTCACGAAGGGATTTCAGATACTTTAAAATGAGTTATTTCTTGTACGAGAATCCCCTGGAGCCCACGTGTGGCTTCCATTTTCCAGTGCAGATCTCCTGTCGTATAGTCGCCCAATCTTTTAAATATTTCAGGTACAATTTGTCGGATTCGCTGGCAGACTTCTCGTATGTGTTGCTGAAGTATTTCATCACTGGAAATGCATGTTGAATTTACAAATGCTTTTAAGTTGTCGCGGAAAATAAAAATCCAGCAGATTCAAATCTGGAGAGCGAGCATAGCAGTTAATCCTTCGTTTTAACTCTATACATAGAGTTTCGTAACATCCTGCTCATTTCATTTGTAACTCTGAAACTACATACGACCAATACATAGATATTTATAAACACTAGAATATGAATATTTAAAATTAAAGGGTGGAAGGGCTCAAGGAACTTATCAATGCAATTAGTTCTCTATCTCAATGATTGTAATATAAAAACAAAAATTAAAATTAAAAACTTAAAAGTCCTTCTTCGCGAAATTTAATTACATTTTAATATATATTTCATTTTCACCGTTAAAAAGAATCGAGGGAAGTTCGCGTTCGAAACATGTTCTAGTAAGACAATTGGTCCTTTGCCTCCGAATCATTTAAACATTTCTAATCTATATAGTACTAGTTAATATTCCCTTAAATGTTAATAACAATTACGGTTCAGAGTAAGTATCCATTCGAGACATTAATCGTGAGAAATCCGTCAATATTTTAATATCTATTGATTAGACCAACTAAATGGTAATTTCTGACAATAGTTATATTAATTATTAACAAGGCTTATAACTTAAACAACGATAGGGAATATGATTTTGCTATGATATTAATGTAGGAGTCTAACCGAAAAATAAGGCACGGGGATTCGAACCCACGATCCTCGGATCCACAGTCGACCGCTTTACCTACACGACCAATCCCGTACCCTACGTTTCGTGTTCTTATTTGACTCCTTATTGTTGGGTATGGGAGGCGCGGACACTACATTAATGTTTCACGAATTATTTTCTCGATATATTCAACGAGCTTTCGAAGCGACCGACATGTCACACGGTTGTTGTTTGCCCTTCCCCTTCTCTACTTCGAAACGCACAAGCGAGCCGCGACCCTCGACCGACACAGGTATACGAGGGGCGAAAGCTCATTCTTTGACGATCCTTTGGTCAATATGGATCTCGCGATCGCGCGTCCGCGTCTCGCGTCCCTCCTAGTTTTGCGTAGCGTAGTTTCCTACTTGCTTGTGGTATTACTTGTGGGTACCTTAGTTTGGTTTGGTTAGTTTTAAGGCATGCGTGTACGAATGTCTGTCCTCTATCAAATAATTATTAATTATTTGTTCAATTCTTTTGTTTGTTCGTAGGTCAAACAAGGAATTTTGTTTTCCTTTGGTTTTCATCGTTTCATACTTAGTATTAAGCTCGTCGACTCTATGTAGAGTATGCATTTATCTATGTATACTCTATGTAGTGGGAGATCGAAGGAACTTTGATTCCTTCTATTTCCGAGTCTCCAGTCGCAGCAACCTCCACGTGCTGAGACCTGGACAGATTGTTCGTCGCGAGTAATAGCGAGCTAATGGCTGTGAAATAGAAATGAGATAATAGCAAGATAAAGTACATCATTTTTGAAATTTCGAAAAAACCTTTGAGATATGTTTAAGCATCACTAAGTATTGAAACAGTTTCGTTGTTTTCTAAAAATATCTTCAATCTTACACGAACGAAACTTTATACACGGAATACCGAGTACAATCTTCTTTTCTTTATGAAATAATTTATGTGCATTACGACCGTCATTAATATTTTTTTAGTATACGTTCGCTCATCCCTGTCTGGAATAAAGTCACTTACAATTAGTCTCGCGAGCGAGCGCTCCGTTTGCCGTCCGCCCCAACACAATGGTTTAGATATTCATAACAATTTCTGCCTTTGTGAGTTATTTTAAAGTGGCGATGGAATATTCAACGAGAAAGTGGTTTTTTTAACTGGGTACAATACCTCGGGGAACGGTTTTTTTTTATGGGGAAGTGGGTCGCAAATATTTTTCCTGGATGGAAACTCTCTGGTGAAGTACGGACGGCTGGATTTTCATTAGGACTGCGTTTCTCGAGTCTCGCGCTGGCCGTCTCGTCTCGTTACGTAAGAAAATGTGAGTCACGAGTGACTATTCTTCTTCACGAGTAAGTTTTATTTTCTCTGTGGCCTGTCGCACTCACTAGAGACCTATTAATTGACCGCGTTGCTTGAACATCTGAAACCGTGTTGACGAGAAACATGGTTCGAAAGAAACTTCAAATCGCGCCAGGATTTAAAAAATCGACAAAACGAATTGGTTTTAACAATAATTCGTTTACCTCTAGTTTGTTTCATATAGAGAAAGTTAGTAGTGAAACTCACTAAGTGAGTAGTTAATTATATATTTTAAAATGTAATTGTATTTTAGGAAAAAGAACTTTTAACGTTTCAAGCTTCATTACGGGGATCTAATCATTAAAGTGTAAATTATTCCTATGCAAAGATACGTCAGAGTTTCGAACGGCTTTCGTGTCATGCATGACTGATCTTGTAAGCTTCCTATTGTCTTCAGTTTTCGCCTTTATCCCCATTGTGACAATTTAAGAGGAAGTACAACAATACCTTTCCAAGTATCGGAGCTATCGACAGTCGACAGTCTCGTAATTCCGCAATCTTCGTTCAATCAATATCTGCTCAATCGTTGTCTACTGAAACTTTGTAAGTGTTATGGATGGGAGCAAACTTCCTCGGAGTTTTAAGTGGCAATCTTCCTTAGAAAATTGATCACTATATCCACGAAATACAAAATAAACCTCATCAGAGAAATGAGACACAAACGCTATGTACAAAATGTATCAAGAAATTAAAAAAATATATGAAAATACTTCCTCTGTCTAAATTTTTCTTAATTCTCAATAACTTGATAACAAAAATTTCCAAATAAACGTTTATCTAGTGATTAGTTAATTACAGCGGTGGCCTTGTTATTTCCGAAATTTTTATAACCAAGTTCAAGTATTTACAAATTGATGTACGTATCTCATTAATTGTTTGAGTTCTGGGAATTTAAAGCGTAAAGCGGATGAACCATCTACGCCATCAATATCTACACCAGTCTACCTAAAGCATCCCTCAAAGGATACATTATTCAGTTCAGAACTGAAATTACACTTTTCTCTTGAATCTCACGCCAGTATCGATTCTACTCAACGTACTTCGCCCGAATATTTATCAAAAATGTCTTCAAACGTGGTAAACCATGGTGGATTTTAATCACAAAGTGAAAAATAAACATAATTATCAAATTTTTATACGATGACTTCTACTTCCATCGTAAATAACACGTGTAAACTCAATTCTCTGTCTGCTCCCCTGAATGCAAGGCAGATCTTTAATGTGCGCTTCCTACAATAGTCTTCAGGATTAGTAAATTGGGGCAGGAAGTTCAAGAGAGCATCCCTCATTCAATTAGTTTTAGCTTAAACTGGTTAAACTTTGTTTTCCATTCAGTATATGTCTCCAATGTTTTATATCAACAAAGAAATTTTTCATGCGAGAATCATTGTTCCGTAAATCCGTTGCAGTCTGCGTCAATTTTTATATCTCGTTCTGGCAGGTCCACGCGTCATTCAATCGCCTTTTATAATTCGCAGTTTATTCGTATTGTACTTCCACAGGTGCTTTGATAAAGATATCCCAATACACAGAATATTTTCGATTAAAATATAGCAATAAACATTCTTAAGTTTTTAGTTATTTTTTGATTCTCAAATCCAACAAAGTGCACCGATGAGAATAATGTAGGCATAAGAATTAGTTGCATCAAAGTGCACATTTGACATCGTGACTTAACTCGTTGGCTATCTAGCTAAAACTCGTGAAAATTTCTATAAAGTTAAAATTTTGCTTCGAGAATATTAAAGATTCGATTATTTAACATCTGTGTTAGTATGTAATTTTTTAACGTCGTCAGATTTACCAACCTTGTCCAGATTTAATTTCATTATTGTCTCACCTTTGAAATTAATTTTTCTAGTTCCTTAAGGGGGTATCCTGAATTAGGAGGTCTAAAAAAAGCTGTTTTTCGTGAATTTTTTTAGGATGGAAAAAAAATAATTTATTCTATCGAACTTTTTATCCTATTTTCATACATATTTGAGTAGTCTGTACAAATTTTTTCAACAAGAAATATTCAAATTGAATCGACTGTGACGCACATTTGTAGAACAACTCACAATTAAAACCTCCTACTGGCGGGAAAGATGCAGGTCTAAAGAAATTTTCATTTTCATACATTTTTCTTCTATGTGAACTAAGAAAGTCATACAAAAAAAATGTTAAACAACTTTTTGATCAAGTTAAAGTGATTTTTTTCACCCAAAGAACTCGTTCTTTTTTTCAAACTTGCAGTAATTTCACATTTCACCATTTTTGCGGGCTTTTCTTAATTCACATAGAAGAAAAATGTATGAAGATGAAAATTTCTTTTGGTTTTTTTGTGTCAAACCAAAATTACGACCTGCATCTTTCCCGGCGATAGGAGGTTTTAATTATGAGATGCTCTACAAATGTGTGTCGTACTCGACTCAATTTGAATATTTCTTGTTGAAAAAATTTGTACAGACTACTCAAATATGTATGAAAATAGGATAAAAAGTTCGATAGAATGAATTATTTTTTCCCTTCCTAAAACAATTCACGAAAAACTGCTTTTTCTAGACCTCCTAATTCTGGATACCTCCTTAATGGGAACTCCTGTCACTCATTTCCGGGTGACGTGACGACCAACGTGTTAAATAATAAAGTCACAATGATCCAGATAAAACGTTGAATCCTTGTATCCATCGGTAAGGCGATTCCCTACATCGACGGCGAACGGTGTGCACGGTGCTGACCCCAGCCAGCAGCCGCCTGAAACCGAGGAGGCTCATCGTCGGATCCGGAGACTTGAATGCGTGGATCGCATACACATCGGATGAAAAGGGAATGGCCGCCGCGGCACGATCTATCCCCACCAAAAAGCTGAACACCTGAGCGTCCCTGGGGGCAGCTCAGGAGGAACAGTCATTATTGCGCCAGTATAACATTCGCTTCCAGTTCTCTTTCAACGAGCACGTCGTGTTTTTCGGAGCCACCGTCCACGAGGATCGACTAAACGAACGGGGTCTCCTTAGTTGCTCGCTGAACGTCGACCAAAGAAACCGCGTGGTAGCCTTACTCGTATACGCTGGCTTGCTTGTGGCTACGATACGATGCGACACATCTCGGGAAATAACGAAAATGTGACGTGAGACTGACCGTGAGACAGCCTTGGCAAGAACGTGACACGTTTCCCAGTCGACCGTTCGGTGTGACAACTCACTCGCGCCCAAAATGCCAGTGAGAAGGACCAATTTCCACGCGTTCTCCGGTGCGCTTGTGTCGGTACTGTGCTGGATCCTGGTGGCGCTTCGTGTCGGCGAGGTAAGTTTGCCAGTGAAATTCCGCCTTTCCGAGCACCGCTACGCCGCGGTTTTACGCGTAGATGAGTTCCGTAAGGATCCCACTCACACCAGCCAACGTGCTCGATTCACGAACGTTCCACGGGTTTTTCCGTATCGGGCACGTCGTTTGCACGTTGCTCGTCGACGGAATTATTCTGTCATTTAGCACGGAGGATACGTTACGTTAATCATTTGGCAATCTCAAGCGGAAGACTTCGGTATTTATCTTTACGTTAACGGTTAAATCGGTGCTTCAATGGGCAAGGTAAAAATTACTCGGGAGGTAGACGAGGAACGTATACCTGTCTGGAGTGCGTGATCTTCCGTTATTAAATATTGTTTAATGTTGAGGATTTCTTGCTTGGGGTTTCCAAAAGATTGGCAGCACGAATTTAATTATCTTTGATACGTACAGAGGCAACAAAAGGGAAGCTATCCGAGTATTTGAAATACTATTCTAGAAATAGGAGATGTTTATAGGTCTGATTTTAATATATATAATGCTGCTGATGCTCCACGAAGATATAGGAAAATTCTTATCCAAATAAAAATGTTTCATAACGAACAAAAGATTACCACCCATTACTCTTTCACTGAAAATTAAAATATGAGCCACAAAGAGAAGTATTTCAAATTGAACAATTGAACATGTATTATATTTAGCGGCTACTCGATCAATCACATTATACATATATAATATAAATTGCTGAATAAATTATACCTATTACATGAGTAAATTACCGAGATTATTGATTAGATTTAATTGTCAGTGGAGTGAATCGGTGCTGGCCTCATTCGACGTCTATTATTAGAATCAAATTTTTCCCATCGCTGCACCGGGGCAAGTAAGACGTTAATGCTCGATGACGTTGATCCAACGTATCGAAGTATTAATTAGATGCCCGGTGGTGTTCGACGTGCCCGCATCGCGGAGTAAGTAGATCATAGATACCACGCGATGGTATGCATCCTCGATGCGGTCTTACGGTTACTCGCGTTGCCGTTTATTCGTCACCGTATCGTTCGTCACGAGTTAAGGATCTGCGCTCATAAATACGTCGCTAAGCTGGTGAACAGCGAGCCCCGTGAAAGAAATCAAACAAAACCGCGACGAGTGTTTTCTGTCTGCCAGGAGATTACACGGGACTCGCGTAGACGCGCGTTCGCCAATAATAAATCGCCGAGATCGGGCCGTGCGTCTCCAGCTGACTCATTCATCTAGCGTGTAAATACACGCTCGTCGTTTCTAAAACGGTGCCCCCCCCCCCCCTGCCCGCGACTAGCTCCCTAGCTGGAAAATCCTGGCACGATATTACATAACAGTACAAGTTTCGATCGTATTTAATTTTGATGCTTTTAACACATTCACTGCCCGGCAAACTTTAATCGTTTTGCCTTGATCACCAAGATTTAATACAGGTATGTAATCTAGATTATTTTGATAATAAATAGTGATATTAAATTTGTTGTTTTAAAAAGGAAATTGACGATCTCGTTTTGGTATAATTCATGACTCAAGAGGCTGTAAACTTATCCCTTGAATAATTGGAAGTAATTTGAACTTCGAGATATCTCGTAGTTGACAGTGAATGGGTTAATAAAAGAATTAGTGAACGATCATTTTTATGGCGCGAGAGAAGAAGATAGCCTACTTCCTGACTCGGAAATGTATGAATGTGTGTATTCTCCGCTTTGTGCTTCGGTTTATGTGGATATCTCACTGCTCAGTCAATTTTGTTTCAAAAATTTGAAAGCGCGGATAAAAGCAGAATTTTGTAATAGAACATTTTTGTATTTGTAGATTCAGAGCAGGTTATATGGCCGATGGCAGTACTTCCTCTTTGTTTCATTGAACAACGGTTGAGAAAGTAGGAACGAAATGCGTGGGTCGCGGGGTAAATCGCTTCGCCTCAGTGTGGAAATTTTGTTGAGAACGCGTTATTACGTAAATTACGAGACTCGAGAAAGAAGATCGGCACCGAACGGTACACGAACGGTCGTGGTTTTACGAAATTACCTCTGGAAAAGAACGAATCGACGTGGAATGCACCTGATCCGTACGATATTACGGAGTAATTGTCCCAGTAATCGAACGTTCAAAATATAATATTACGTCCCTTCAGAAATGAACTAAAACAACTCTTTCTATCTCTGGCATAAAAAGTACCGATATCCATTTATCTGGAAATAAATTAGTTTTTAGGAAATAGCAAGATTAAATTTCTGAAAATCTTATATACTTTGTACTATATAATCCTACACACTCTATACCAGATACTTCAGAATCATTATCTATATCCTCAAACTAAGCATAGTAAATGGACATACAACGACACAGCTAATAGGTACCCGTATATATCGCAATTAAAATCCTGTAAATAGGCTCCCGTTAGATAAAAGTGTTAAAATGACTGCATTGTGCTTCCATCTCCGCTCGAGGCTTGGCATGTGGAAAATCTTATCTTCCCGATTTGGTCCAATGGCGAAAAGCGTTGCGCGCCAATATTATACAGTAATATCTGGAATGAGTTACGGTAACGGGTCGTAAACTCGCCTTTCCACATTGTTCGCGGTTCGCTAAAAGTGTTGGCTGGTTCGCAATAAAAATTCAGATAGACCAGCCGTTCCCGTGGCGAGCTGAGGCAGGAATGTCTCGCGTTCAGCGGGAGGACTGCGTTCAGCTCTGTCGTCTGAGCCAAATTGTATTGAGCGACGAAAAGCGGCAGGCCCTTGGGTCCGCTTATTACCACGAGGAATGCAGAGAGCCACAAAGGCGTGCACGCATATGCACGCCGCGAGCTTGTACGTGCTGCGAATGCGTGAATTGCACAACCACACGCTGACTCACGGATTTCGTCGGTGTAGTAACTAATTATACGAGCCACTGCGTCATCTCCGTTTTATTCCGACGCGGGATACCAAGGATTTGTCCTAACGCATTTGCGTATACTGGGCACTCCACTAGAAGAGGACTCTGAGAACATATAGTAGCTCTGAGAACACATTTAACGTCCAGCAGTAATAAAAATGAATGTACGCAGTGTTTCTCATATTCAAGTTGACCGAGGCTGCTCGAAAATATTTTTTTGGACTCCCTGGAGTGAAGGTACATTTCATTGGACTTGACTCAAACTTTTGAGGAACGGTTATTTAACTTAGCATGATCCTTTTTTCTCCAGGGAGCTGGTCGATCCTCACCAACAAGTAGAGTATTGACCTGAGATTCTGAGCGAAGCAGGTCAAGCAAACCTCACGTTGAACCTAGAAATAAAGGATTCCAGGTAACATTTCGTTGATGAACTCGTTTCGGTCCTCTGACACAAATTCGTGAGGGAATTTCTTGATGCCTTGGGTATAGAATATCGATCCTCTTGTTTTACATTTTCTTAGAGTTTCGGAAGTACACCGCTGTGAGGTAAAGCTACCTCGCTGGAAGCTATAAAATTGTCACCAACGGGTATTGTTGACTCGACGACAGTGGGCTGAAATGACTCACGCAATAGTATAATAACTATTTACAAATTGTTGACGAAGCCGTATGACACACATTCAACGATCAGTGTAAATGTTTGCATGGAATTATTTGCAATAGCTCAGTCTGCAACGAACATTGTTGAAACTTTTATCGCGCCTGCACGATAGTAACAAAGTCTGATACGACAAGTGTTTTAATAAGCGCTTTTTTTATTTTTCTGTACTGAATTTACATCTAAAATTATAGCTTTGCTTTGTGAATCACCATGAAGATTAGTCACATTTTTAAATTAAGCGAATTGTTAATTTCAAGAAAAATAGTTGAAACATACTCAGCTTGCTTTCAAAGAATTGTTAACGCATAAGCATATTTCAGGCTTAGAAACTTATTTTTCATAATTACATGCACAGTACAGCTAATGTGCATAAGTTCTTAAAACATCCTCAGAGTTTTTTATAAAATCAATTAGCTTCTAGTAGCATTTGATCTTTTAATGCCCAACCATAAGTTCTATTAATAACACGAGAGAATAGAATTACACAACTTGGATACCTGAGTAAATGCTTCAGCATTATTTGCACGAATCTGCCAGTCATTATACGCATTAACCAGGGAAGAAATGCAGGAAGATATAAAGAGCATTTTCAAGTACAACGTAAATATGGGCTAACATTGTTTGCAAAGAATGAAACTATGACGGAATACATGCATAAATAGCAAACGGGGGAACGCGAAGGCGTAGATGGGCGTGTATGATTCGAAGAAACGTACAGGGAATATGTAAATAACTCAACTAGGTACATGCGTCGCCTGAACAAGTAAGCTAAGAAATTGGCACATCCGTGCTGGTGAACCGAGAAAGAATATGCAGAAAAGAATTTACGCAAATAAAAATTACATTCCATACATTTTTCCATTAAACTCTACTTTATATATCAGGGCATCTCATGAGTTCGAGCTCCATATCGAGCCAATATTTAATAAAAAAATTTCAGAAAGGTGGAAAAATATTGTAAAACGGGAGGAATTACTTTCTTGAGTAGCAGAAGAATATGCGGCATGAATTCATGGAACGACCAATACTTCGTTTTTTATTACAGAGACGTTTCTTAGAAGTGTCTGCTTTAATCTAGTTCAGACATAACATGCCACAGCGTTTTTCCATTCTTCACAGTGAGATTGATAGAATTTTTAATTACGAGCGATCTAATGACAATGGATTGATCGCATCAAATTTAATTCCGAGTAATTTCGACCGAGTAGTGCATGAGCACCCGGTATGCAATAGTCGAATGCGAACCATTTACGTGGTCAACGAAACAATGATACTCACACAAGCGCGCAGGGCGCATGGTGTACCACTCCCCGCGGACCGAACTTTTACTTAATTAAAAAATCTATTTAACAGGAAGCTGGCCTTGCCTCATACGAGGCTATCGGGGACGTAAATCGTAGATACACCGATTCATTCGTATCCCCGCATTATAAATAGACTTGTGTGTCCT